TTCTTTTTGGTTCTGAGAGCCAGGAATCAGGTGCTAGATCTACACCTCCCTTCGAGGATTTTCATGTTAATGTTAGTCCTGAGGAATAGTGAACTGGAAAAGGAAGCTGTAGAAACACATTTCTTGACCATATTCAGCATTATGGAATGATTCAGGAATGGTGAGATGGTGCTTGCTTAACCCCCACTTTTAATACTGATGTCATAACCAGACGTAAGCGGGCAATAAAAATTGTCATCCTAGCTGCAAACACAAGACACTTCTTCCCCTTGAGCTCATCTGTGGCAGAATATCTTTTTGCAGCTGTACCCTTCACCCATCTGTGGCCCTGAAGCTGTAAACAGAACAGGCTCAGCAGTTTGTCTCCCTGTGCTGTACAGTCTTTCACTATCAGTGAAGGAACATGCTGTCCAGCAATGAGTTCAAAGAGCTGCTGCTGGTTTGCCTCTAATCTTCTGTTTTTCTTTTGGAATATGCAATCAAAAAACTGGAAGCATTTTCCCTGGCTTAGGGTCCTTAGCATGATCAGGCTGTCCATCTTGCTGAATGTTTCTGTGGTATTTTACTGCACTAATGGACGCTCATGTACACCATTGTAACTCTTTGGTCATAGCCTGTGGTGCTTCATTTTTCTGAGCTCTGTCCATAGAGGATCACAGAATCACTGAGTATTTTAAGCTGAAAGGATGGTCCCTTGCTGTAGCACAGACTTGTAGCTCTGGGACTTTGTCTGGCAATTGGAGCAGCAGATTTCTGAGTCCTCTGTTCAAGACCTAAAGTCAATCAAGAGGGAAGGAGAACTTCTCTGTCTGGCTGAATGGCATTGGAATGTCATTTAAAGACTGAGTGAAAGATCTCTGGTGTCTAGAAGCAGTGGTGACTCTGTGGATTACATTTGCTCCTTGCCCTAGTTTGTATAAGCAGTTAGCTAATTTCAGCTCCCAGTTCTGGCAAATCTGTGGAAAATAACACTATGAATAAATGTGTTTATTTATTTTAAAATAAAGTCTTCTCAAACTCTTAGCGAGGTGCATTTAGGATTAGCTGCTACACAGAGAGACTGGAAGAGTATCCATCTGCTTTCAGCCAAAACCAGTTGCTCTTTATCAGCCAGTTTCCTAATCCCACCTCAATTCTCTCTCTGCTCCTGCACATGGTGCTTGACTGCCACAACAGCGCAGCTCACTGCAGAGCCATTTTTTGGGTGAAAACCCATTTCTCTCTGCATTCCCCAGATCTGTCCCCCAGACACGGGAGGAGACATGCCAGTGGCTCCAGCCAGCTGCATGGCACAGCCACCCCAGCCGTGCTGCTGGCACACAGCCCTGCCCACCCATCCCCATGCCCCCAGGGGCTGCCCCACCTTTATCCCCATTAATGGGCACAGCAGTGGCTACGTGTGTGTACTGTGAGGGCTGATGAACTCTCCTTCAAAACGTGGAATCAGCACATGTTCCCCACCTCCCAAAGCTGCTGTCCTGTGGCATTTGTTCCATAAACACAGATAAAAATCTTGTTCTTACTTTTCAAGTTTATATTTACAAAGGGTGGAAAAAGAGGCATAATGACAGTTTAATTAATGTATGCCATTAATCCTGGAGATAATCAAAAGCCTGATAAGTCTCTAATCTTGTAAAAAAGAATTGGAAAGCACTGAAACATCTTTTGCCATTTGTACATGTTTTAATGAGATGCTGCATGCTTGGAGGAGGAGCCATGGAAAGGAGCAGTGCCAGAGGACATATTCTCAGCACATTTCATCACTGGACTTCTTGTGTGATATTATTCTTGGCAAAACTGGAGTCCAAAGTCATCAATGTTGTTTTTAAAATTTGTCCTCCTGTCAATGTATAAGGCTATTGTAAGAATTTGTGGATATAAATCAGGAGAGCTTTCACATGTCTACCCTTTTCTTGTAAGAATCATATATTTAAAGCACTTCAGCTTTTACTAATTACTTCCTAGTTGTTCCTGCAGGTGTGAAAGTCATGCCAGTATACAATATCTATTATTCAAGCAGAAAAAAAGAAATAGAATTAATAGAAGGCAATATTTCCAAGGTGTTTAAAAACTAATAATGTGGCCAACTTCAGAGCACTCTATTTTTTTTTTTTAATCTGTAGAAAATTCTTGTTTCAATGCTGTCCATAGCTTTGCACTTTTATATGTAAGGTGCAGTTTATGTGGTCAGTTATTACCAGTAAGTGTCAATGAAACAACTTTGGAGGATGCAGTGACTCACAGGCACTGTCCAGATTTTGAGGAGCTCAAAAAGAAGTGCTCATCCTTGAACTTGGAGCAAGTACAAGGGCAAAATGTCCTAATGTCTGCCACTCCTGCAGGGACCTGGGAACCAGCTGGAGCTGGTGGGAAGCATGGTGGGAAGGAATAATAATAAGTATTGCTTCTCTTCCTCTCCAGAGACCCAAAGAAAACTGAGTTTGTCCTCTGGAGCGGAGGCGGGGGGCAGCAGTCTGCCGCAGGGGGAGAATTAAGGCTGGGTGAGAACTTTTGTCTGGCTCCCAAAAAAGACTGAACCAGTGAAGGAGCCAGAGCAGGACTGGGTTAAATAAACCCTGGAGGAGAAGTTCTGGCAGGCAGGCAGAAGGAGGGTGAAAAAAATGAGAATATTTGTGTCAGGGTTGGAAATGACAGGGTTTTTTGGTTTTGGTTTTTTGGTTTTTTTTTTTTTTAATTTTGTTTAAGTTTGAACAGTTTAAGCAGCACTAAGAAGCAGTGGTTGCCCAGGCACAGGTCAGCCAGCAGCCGAACTGTTTAGGTATGCCCCTGCAAGCATGAACATCCCAAAGCCCTTGAGCACAGAGGCTTTTGGCAAGTGGGCTGGGGAAGGGGGCAGAGGTGGGTGAGGCAGTCAGGGTGCTGCAGGCCCTGCCTGTGCCCTGGAGCAGGCAGAGGTGTGGGCTGTCAAGGGGCCATTGCAGCAGCAAGTGTGCTCAGCCCTGGGAATGTCACCCCAGGGCAGAAGCCAGAGAAGGAACACCCCGAGGGAGTTTCCTGCAGACTCTCCTACCACATGTGAACAACATTTAGTAAATGTTGTTCACATGTTTAGTAAAAATGTTTAGTAAACCTGCAGGAGGGCTGATTCCCAGTGCACTGAGACTGAAAGTCATCAAGACTGAAAATGTGTTTAGGACCCTGAGGAGGGGCAACATTTTTGCTGGTCTGAGGAGCTCTGCTTTCCACCAGTCTGTGGGCAGGTGGGAGAGGGTGCAGTGAATTACCCCATGAGACACAGAAAACAGAGGAAGTGTTAGGCTGGGGACAGGGACAAGGTCCTGCTGTCAAACCAGTCCTAAATGTAGGTAAATGAGGAAAAGAAATTTTTTGACCCTTCTCCAGAAAAGAAATTGTTCAAAATAGGAGATGCACTTGAGTAAACTTAGCAAACACAAAGAGAGGTCAGGGAGACAGAGCAAAGGGGAACTTCTGCACATTTTCCCCATCTTCAGATAAAGCCGTGTTGGTATACACAAGTACAATGACTGCTGATCTTTGGCTCCTTTATTTATAAAACAATATACTAATCTTAATCCCTGGACACACTGATGTAACTGAATGTCATACTTTCCAAATATAATGGATTACATTCCCATCATAAAATAAATACATTCCAGCAGTGAGCCCCCCAGCAAATAACAGAGCTCCGACAGCTGGGGAAGCTGGGGCAAGAGGTACAACAATTGGGTTGTGTTGCTGAAGCCCAAAAGCAAAGTTTTTGCTGGCAGCATTCTAGGAAAACCTATTATAAATGCAACCCTACCAAAAAAGTGCTCTTTTCTTTCTAGTTCTGTGCTGCATGCAAAAGCCATTAAAAAAACCCTGGGTAAACAAATATGCTCTTTTCCATATGACCTTTTCTTGAATGTTTTCAAAAGTATATTGTCTTTTCAGTTTAACACAATATTTTTCAGCTTTTATTTATAGCTTAAAAGAAAAGCCTTCCTCAAACTGTCACCAAAAATGCCCTTCTATAGGCATGCTGTCAGGAGAAAGGCTTTTTTCTCTGAGTGTAACTCTGGGTTTCAATACATTTTACTGTAACTAGTATAGACGTGGCTCCAGCAATCATTGCATCTGGAATCAGCTGGACACATATCAGTCTGGCCTAAGAGCCATTTTTAATCTGTATTAGGTGAAAGTAAGGGTTAAATATAATAGAGAACCAAGCAGCAATGGTTTGCTCTCATGCACTCTCATTTTTTATTTATTTTATAAAATAAGCAGGGACTAAAATCTTTAAAGAAAATGTTTATTCTTATCTTATGTATGGGGGGCAAGAGCAATATTTGCAGAAGTATGATGAAACAGCATATTACCTACATGACTCAGCATAGGGTTTTTTTTTTACTTGGAAACTGTAATGAAAGGCCATGGTGCTTCACAAACTGATTTTACTTTATGGGATATCAAAAAAGAAAAATTGAAATGTCACATTGATGGTACAAATTCAGTATAATGTAAGCAGGCACGGCCCAGGGCAGATTACAGATTGCAATAAGTTTGGCATCTCCTTTGCTGAGACTCAGAGAGATTCCTACAACTTCATGGAGTATCTTCAAATGTAGCACAGGACTATTTCCCAGTCTGCTGTTCATTGACTTACAGAATTGGAAAGAGACAAATATGTGCAGGTCAACAAACTGTAGTCCTCTGTAAAGTCCATATTTACTTCAGCTGTCAGATGAAGGAGACTGGTCCCATGTATAGATCCCTGAAGGAGCTCAGCATTTGGTGCTGTCATGAGTTAACACTTTAGTCAAAGCTGATAAGCTTATTAATGGCTACTGTTAGAGGTTACATATGTTTTATGTTCTATGACTGAATAGTATTATGTACAAAAGTGAGGCCAAACCCCTGGGAGTCTACTTTTGCATGTTTTTTTTGTGCTTGTGTTAGCACATCTCTGAGCTTTGGAAGCTTCACAGTTCAGTCATGCATAACCCAAAGGGTGGTTGTGTCCCCTGATGAAACAGTCATTAAGTCAGTCTGTTGAGTTCAGCATTATCTTTTGCATCTTTGGGATGGCTCTTTTCATTTTTCTCTTTGTATCTCATGTGGCAAAACACACCCGCTAAAATGGCACCTGAAAAACAGAGAGTGTTTGTCTGTAAAGGGGAGAGTAAACTTTCTGAAAAGATGTTCCAGCAAGGGCCATGACACTGCCCTGTAAGATCCACAGTGCTTTACCTCTTGAACAGAAGCAGCTTTGAGAAAGGACCATGCAGCATGGGACCAAGAGCTGGGCAGGATCAATCACCCCAAGGATGCCTTGGGGTTTAGAGGCCTTCCCCCAAAGGAAAGCTTTTCCTCTAGGGTCTGACCAGATGGCAAAGCGTCTATTTTAGCCCCCCCTCCCACTGAGCAGGAATTTGTATGTTTGTCTTGAGATGCAGTCCCTCATTTATATATATATATATATATATATATATATATATATATATATATATATATATATAAAATAAATAAATATATATATATATTTATATTTATATAGCCTCATTTGATCTTTTAAAATCATGAAGAGCTCATTATACTGTATATAAATTTATTTCCTCTTTATCGGTGTTAGAATGAATATGCAAGATGTAAACCTGCAAAGCTGAAATAGGAGAATAAAATGATGACTATAAGCTACAGGTACAGATCCTATAAGTAGGAAGCTTCAGTATTTTTACTATAATCTGGATGCCCAAGACAAAACTCAAAGCCCCTCCCTGACAGGCAAAGGGCAGTAAGTAGCAATGAAATGACACTTTACTAGAGGTTCAGTAGTTTCTTCTGTCCCAGCTGTTTTTTGTGCCATTGGATATTTTTCTTACAACCAAAACCTTAGAAGTTTGCAGCCATCATGATACACAATCATGGGATCTTCCCTCTTTCACTCATTCTGCAACATGCTTGACAAATCTTCAGCCAACAAGTGACTTCATGTCAGAAATGCAGCAGCACCATCATATCTCAGTCTGCCTTCAAATCAGCCAGGAAGAAGTGACTTACCAATGATGATCAGGACTGCAAGCAGAATCCCAATTGCCTGTCCAGCGGTTGGCCAGGAGTGCTCACGGTCTATTTCGATAAAACATGAATTTTCACTGGAACACTTGCAGATACTTACTGCAAAAGGAAATGCCATGAGGTTAATGAGAAGTTTAGTAGTCACATTTGGTTATTTATAAATGTAACTGCTCTCTTGAAGGTAATAGTTATGTGCATAGAATACCTTTAAGATTCACTTTGTTTTCCAAAGGCGGTTTTCCATTGTCATTAAGTATTATTGGAACATCATACACCTTCTCTTCAAAGTTAGCATGTTTTGGGGACAGGAAAGCATGAGTAGCTGTAAGTAGGAAATGGGACATTCATGTCAGCACGAGAAAGAAAGTTAGTTCAACATTCATACCAGCTGCAAATGTTCTTTTTTTTTTAAGGCTGCTTTGCACATTATAGTAACTGCTGTTTTCCTCAGTGTCTTCCAGGATCTCATTGGTTTTCAGACACTAAGTAAAAAGGGAATACCTAGAAGCCTAGTCTGGCCTTCATCATAATATGACCATAAAATTTCCTTCCTAATTTCTACACCAGGGAAAATCTGATCTTGAGTAGTGCTGCATTGATAGCATCCCATCTAAACCGGGAGTAGTTCCCTATACTCATAGAGACCACAAGCAGCTTAAATTGTTCCCAAGGAAATGTAGGACAGACTGTCCTTCTAGTGAACTTACACTGTTACATCTAAGACTCTTTAAAAACTGGAAAAGGTAAAACCAGCCATTGGGATCAGATCAAAAGTCTGTTGATGCACGTATCTTGTCTTCAGAATAAATGGAGATTACGATGAAAAAGAAAGCATGCATTTTATTTCCTCCTCCCTCTCACCCTTTAAACATTTTCAGCTCAAGGACTTCTTGAGCAAGATGTAATTTCTTTCTTTGAACTTCTAGAAAATTTCTGCACAGACAACACCCTGTGATAGCAAGTTCCCAAGTCAGCTACTTCCTCATTCTATCTGCACTGTAAATAACTCCACAAGCTTCACTTGAGGGTCCCAGGTTTGTGCACTGGAAGAGAGAGCAAAGGATGAACCTTGGCCACCCTGACCACTGCATTCATAATTTTATATCTCTCTATTGCATTCTTTCCCTACTGTCTTCCAAGATTAAAAGTAGTAGCTTACTTTGCTGCTCCTATACACTTCCTTATATCAGGCCATTCTATAACTCTGATTATCCTTGTCAGCCTATCTAAACCTGTTTCCAGTTATACTGCATTTTTATGATAGAGATAGAGAGACTGGAGTTCAAAGCTTGAAGAAATTATGGATTTATACAGGGGCATAATGAAGTCCTCTGGTTTCCTCTCTGGTTGTTTCCTGGTAATCCACAATATTTGACCTGTTTATTTGAATACTGCTGATCTCACATTTCCATGGAACTGCTTACAGTTCTCCTTCCTGATTCATAATGGCCAGCTCAGCACCCATGATTTCAAAAGTGAATTTGGGAGTCCAGGGTTCATTAACACCTGTGAATTTTATTGTTCAACCAACTCAGTCTTGGAAAAATGTTCTGAAATTCTTCACACTTGGTTTCTATTCAAATAACTTGGTATAATGAGTAAACTTTGCCTCCTCATTGCACATCCATATGTGTTGAGTTATGCAGATCCCAACAAAAAACCTTTGAAAAACCACACATGAACTCCCTTCACTGCAAGAGCTGACTGTTTACTCCAAGTCCTGAATTTTAAATTATTATTTATTTTTTCAAAACTTTAAATTTATGGCAACCCAGCCATAAATTCATGGCTGGGTTGCCATAAATTTAGTGGGACAATTCATCAAAATGTTTTATTAATTCAGACAGACTCTATCAGCCGAGCACTTATTCATGTGCTGACTGTCCCCTTCAAAAAGCTCCATTCACTTTGTGAGGCAGAACTTCCTTCTGCATGAAATATCAGAAATGTACACTTTGCAAACTGCTCTATTTCTTTTTCATCAGTGAATTGTGTTCGTTAAACACACATATATTTCATACTTACATGCTTCTTCTCTCAAAAATACTCATGAAATTATAGCTTGCAACATACTGGGTTTTACCTCTTGCAAAAAATAATGACTTTGGTGTTCTCAGCAACCCAATTTTTTTTCTATGTGGGACACTGGTTATGCAATAATAACAGTGAAAAGGAATTCTGTAATTCTTCATATTCACCAGAGTACCAAGTGAGTCCCATATCATTGTAAGAACAGCTGAATTAGCTTACCATTGAATTTTGAGACTTCCCAATTATTTCTTGCATTCATTTCATCCGCAAGGGAAAAGGTAAATTTTGAATAAAATAATTGTTCATCAGCATCAGTAGCTTGAATGAGAGTTCTCTCTCCTCCACTGACTGGGTAGCAGAAGAAAGTAGGATAATCTGTAGCTATTTGTGGGTAGTTGTCATTCACATCATGTAAGTGTAGAGTCAAGAACACTTTGGATTTCTGAGCTGCATTATCTGTCGAGTTTAACAGAATGCAAAGTTACATGCACATCTTGGATTTACACTCCGGGCTGTTGTATTTGCAGTTATCACAGAGGTACACCATCAGATAGGCAGTGAAAGGTGGAGTTTTGTCTAAAGGTGGCAGTAACAAGGTCTCAGGAGGTCGTGAGGGATTTGTGGTAGCTGCCACTACTTTTTAACGAGCATTTTTTACTTACCACCAGTTCTTGCAAGCTACAGAATGCTAGCAAGGGAAGAGAGGCAGATCTTACCTAGTAATCTGTCATATCCATCATGTCTGGCAAGCAGTCACATCCAAAGTGACCAGTGCTCTTTGGAGCACTCTTAAGCATGAAATGCCTTGAGTTTCCCACCCCTCTTCTATATACAGAAAACACAAGCCAAAATTGAAAGATTTAATGGCTGGAACTAGAAGTCCTAATATATTTCAGACCTGACAGAGTATTCATTTTAATTATAACAAAATTAATTTCTGTAGAAGATTACAAACTACTCTCTGGGTATGTTTTCAGGAAGCCTAACCATACCTTGGAGAAAGACTAAAATCTTCATAGCTGTAGAGAAAAAAGCAGCAGAAAATATTGATACTGAAAGCAGTGAAAAAATTTGAATCTTCTCTATATGTCATGTGGTTCAAGCAAATATAAGAACATACCCAACTTCATGAAAGCTATTTTAATCCTTGTTATCAACAGCATCAAGAGTTCTTCAAGAAATTTAAATTCTTAAGAAATATATACTTCTAAGGATACACCACAGGATGCATATCCGAGATTACATGTTCCAGTACTTTTCATGTGTTTAGTCATGGTAGGTATGATAATTCCTCATAAAAGAGTAAGTACAGGGGATTCCTCTGTGTGTATATTTAGTTGTTTCATCACTTACTTAGCTCTGATACAACAACTTCTACTGAGTATATTTCTTCAGTTTCTCGATCCAAAGGGGAAGCAGTGTATACCTGCCCAGTGGCTGAATCAATTCTCAGCCATTTCCTCACGTCACCTTCCAAGGAGTATCTTTGAAAAGAAATAGAGAGGAAAAAAAATCATATATACTGTTCCAAATTGGGAAAAAATTCCAACAAAGCAAATACTTCTTTGTTGACTTTATGTAAGAAGCTCGATTACAGTTGTACTCAAAGAGAGGGTTCTTGGAAGAGTTGCAGTGCTACAATACTACAGCCAACCAGGAGACATAGACAGAGGAAGAGAGGCCAAAATCATCCAGAATAAGAGTGAGAGCAGAACTACAGAAATGCCATCTCTGCTGTAGCCTGTGGGCTTGCAATTCCACTTTCCTTCTAAATGGAGAACCTGAGATGGCACTGAGCTTTTAGTCCAGAAGTGTGATTTGTCCAAACTCCATGTCCATCTCACCCCATCACATCTCCCACATGTTGATTTTGATGGGGCCACAAGCCAAGGGCTGGGGGACAGAGGGGCCAGGGCAGCCAGGAACCCTTCTGTGGATTGAGGAGGGACCAGGACCCCAAGGTGAACCATGGTGATTATCTTCTGGCAGTCTGGAGCAGCCTGTTACTACCATTGGGGCAGCCTTGGAACAGTGTGTGCTTTAAGCATCACCACATAATTGCGTTTATATCATTGTTTAAAAAATCACCAAGGTCCCTGGGTATTTACTTACACAAATTTAACCATGAACATATGACCCAGTTAAAGCACAGGCACTTGTTGAGTAGAAGTGACCAGACCTTCTCATTCAATGTTTTTGTTCTTTCAGTACCCTTTACACTAGAAACAGCATGCTTGTACTTTTCTTACTTCTACATCTTCTACTTTTCTTACTTTTTATTTTATGCCCTTTAACCTATTTTTAGCAGAAATGTGGTTTATGTATAGCTAAATTCCTGTCATGTGTCTCTGTCATCATCCCCCAGAGCTTCTGGACTATGTGGCTCCCTTTCAAACTAGCTTGACAGAAGGCCAAACATGATAAGTTCCCAAAAGTTAGGGACAAGTAGAAAGCCAGATGAGAAATCTCTGGGAATAAGAACCCACAGGAGGCCTAAGAGTCACATTGTGCAACTCCATTAACCACTTGGTGTTTTGCTGAATTTCAGTTAAATTTCAAGAACTGTTTATTTTAACTTGATCTGTTCAGCATTCCAGCTGGGAATTGTACAGCAAAAGTCACAAATAACTCCTCCATCTGACTCTGCTGTGTAAGGTACATTTACACCATGCAACACAGCACAGGAGTTGTCTTACACAGAGCTTTGCATCCACAATAGAAAGAGATGTGTCATCTCTGACAGCTAGGAAAGAAAATGAATTCTTTTTCAGTTGTAGAGTTGAGGATGTGTATTTTGGTGGAGAAAAAGTTGAGGTTGTGCATTTTGGTTGTTTCCTGTGTGACTCTCCTACTGGTTCAGGGGTATACGCCTTATACAATATACGCCTTATTTTTTTGATAAAGGCATTATGGACATGGAACCTTGTTACTCTCAGTCCAGCTCTACCCTTCTCCTGGAGATATAAATTAGCCTGCTTCCCTTGTGGTTTCCTGTTTCAAGGCTGATGTTTGTCACAGTACAGAAATCTGGTCAGAAAAGTACTACCCAGCTGCATGTGTGTCACTGGCCCCTACCCCGCCACACATCCACCTTCTACTAGGAGATAGCTCTTCTGTAAAAACAGTATTTTTCCACATGCCAAGTATTGGGCATATTTTCCTTGCATGTCCTTTAGAACCATTTTTGAAACCCTAAATTCAATTAACTAATCACAGTCACTCTTTTTTACCGTACAGAATCCCCTTCAGGATCATAGGCCTCCACCGTCATGACCAAGGTATTGACAGGAATGTCTTCAGACACCTCTGCTTTGTAAAATGGCTTCCGGAAAGCAGGAGGCTCATCCACATTTGTCACAGCAAGTTTTAACATGGTGAGAGAGCTCGCGTTGTACTCCACGCCTTCCACCAGTGGCTCGGGGTTTGTGGCATTGATCACCAGGTTGTACAGAGGCCTTGTTTCAAAATCAAGAGCCTGGATGAATTAGGGAAAAAAAGGTTTGTGAAGCAATGGCTCTGCTGCTGTGGGGAGCTCCAATGAGAAACTAAATGTCCAAGTCCCCCTCTTCTCAAGGAGGAGATTGCATCCCAAATGCAGGCAAAATAAAGAAGAGCTGTCAGGAGAAAATTACACTGGGAATGTTCCATTTAAATGAAACCATATGCCTGTTTAGAGGCCTCCTCAGCAACTGCATTTTCTAATAATGTTGCCACCTGCCTGGCTAAGTTTAATAACAATATCCTGTTTACAGAAATAGTATTTATAGCTCTGTATGAGAAGGCCTCAAACGACCTCCGGGTGCCAAAAGTCATGCAAGGGTTGTTACGCTACAGAGTTTCTCACAGCTACCTCCTTGGGAAAAAAGGAGGCTGAGGCTGATGCTGATGCTGAAGATGGTTCACCAAACGCTGCCTCTGCCTGCACTTGGCCTGGTGGCAGCACACGAGCTGGAGGCACACAGTATGGCACCCCTTGGAAAATGAGTGGTAGTTTTCTGGAGCCATAGTCCAAGCACCTTTGAGAAGGTTAACTTCAAAGGGAGAGTAATTTTGTTATTGAAATTCATGGATGCAGCAAAAAGTGTTCCTTATATTCCTGTCTCCAGCATTCAGCATATGGGCTGTGTCACCTACTGCAGCACACGCTGTCCTTGGCTTGGTCACAGTTAATGTTCCCCTCATCAGGAACAAACTACGTCTCCATGCTCACATTGAGACATGCTGGCTACACTTGCCTCTTGCTTTGCAAAGGCCACCAATGGCCAGAGCAACTGCAGGGAGGAGAATCTGCCCCTTCACAGCCCACCACTACCACCACAGCTATGGAAGCATTAGCTGGCTTTCTCTTGTCCAGAAATGCTGCTGCAAAATCACTCAAATAATGTAAATTTTTTGTCATTATGGTGCATAAACACCTACTTCATTGGCCAGAATCTGCTCTTCTGGAGAAGCAGCCAGCAGCAGAGCCAGTGGAGGGAGCTGGTGGTGGTGGTGAAGGCAGAGCAAAGGCAGGAGGATAGGTGTGTGTGTGAGCACTGCACAGACGCAGAGCCTGAGTCCAAAAGTGGAGCCTCCTGCAGGCTGCACCATGCTTAGGGTGTCCCCACCCCACCACCAGTCAACACCCTCCTCACAAATCATTACCAGGGCAGTAACTGTGTATAACAAATAAGTAACACTAAAGGAGAAGAATAAAATCCATCTATTCACCTTATTAATCCTGATGAACCCTCGGTTTGTTTCAGAGTCTGTCTCTATGGTGAACGTGTTGTTTGGATCACCTTCCTTCACTTGGTAAATGATGAGGGAGCTCCCTGTGGCAGGCTCATCTCCATCAGTTGCTTCAATTTCTGATATCACACTTCCTATTGGGGTATCTTCTGCCAGAGTCACAGTGCCATACTGAAGAGAGAGAGGTGTCATTGAAACATGACATACCATTTGTGGATAAGAATTTCAGCACAACCACAAGCTTGTGACCCACATGTGTGGATTTATTTTAACCCACAGCAGCCACACAAAGGAGGGAGGCTTTTTAGCCACACATTTATGGTAGGTAATGGGATCTATGTCAGTGCCACTAGTACAGCACCAGTCCCAAATCTTTAGTTCCTCTATGAAAACCAGCCCATGATCATGCAGAAGGGATAGTACAGCTTCCCTGTACCCTGTGAGCACCCTGGCCACTCATTGTTAAATATTTGATTGCTTCATGCACCATAGGTTGTTGCCACATTGGCATCCCAACTCCTCTGACTGTTTAATGTGTGCCCTTGCCCAGAAGCCTCACCTTGAGACCAGATCCTGGACCGAGACCTTGAGGTGAGATGGTGTAAAACCTGCCCTGCAGGCATCTTGTCTGCATGAGATTGTGCTGACCTTGCCATCACCTGAGATGGGCAATACAGTCTGCAAGGCTCAAAAACCAACACAGCTTCCCTGAAAGGACAACTGTGCCTGACAGGCCAGACACCTACATGGCCTGCAGGAGTGTGGGAGCTGGGACACCTCTGTGTAAGGACTTCAGCCACTCCAGTGTCGCCAGGAGGCTTGGGCCGTCAGGCAGAAGTCATGAAATGTCTGCAGGTCTCTGCCAGATGCCAGCACCTCCACCAGAGAAAAGACAGGAGCCTGACACCCATCCTGGAACCAGGTTTGGGCATGGATTGCTGGACCACTGTTTCTGGCCAAACCACATAGGGCTTCTGATTCCCATTCATCTTCTGGCTGTTTTGGGTACACTAGTGCTGTGTTTGGAAAGGTACTTGGGAGACACCAGCTTTTTTTCCATTTAGGTGTTTGATTAATTTTAAAGCCTTTTCTTCCCCCTTTCCCTTCAGAACTTGCATTTCTGGAATAAACTACTTTAATAGAAAAATTTCTTTCTGTACACAGTTTTCCACTGAGCAAATTACCTTAAATTTTGTAATTAGCTATTAGTCTGTCCCATTGCTCACTGTCTAGATAGAGCTTATATGCAGACTTGCAGCAATATTTTACCTTTATTTTTACTAGTAGTTACTCTATTACTTTGTCTGTAAATGGCTAGTTTCCTGCTGACATCCTATAGACATTGAAGGTATACTCAAACCCTTGTCAAAAGTTATTAGAACATTAAAAATGGTGTTAAAATACTCACATCTGAATTTATAAAGATGGGAATTTGATCATTGATGTCAATTACATGTACTTCCACATTACAGATTGTTTCGAATTCTGCATGGAAAGAGATAAACAGCGTTACACCAGCCTTTCTGCCAAAAATAACTCTCCTCCAGAAGGGTTCACTGTGAGCAAAAGTGAGCATTGCCAAATTGCCCAATCTAAGCACTAAATTGAGAGAAGCACTTATCTCAGAGATCTCTTAGTCAATGACAACCTCACTCTCTATCTTACCATTGATCTTCCCCATTTCTCCAGCACTGTCCCATCCTGTTTCATTTCCCTCACTTTTTAAAACCATATCTGTTTACCAGGATGATGATAGCTATGAATTGTGTTAACTGTCTCAGTATAACTTTTCCATGTCAAAAAGTAAACCCTGGGTTGTTAATGCTCCCTTGTCCTCTTGGTCATCAGGCAGCACCCCCAGTTTTGTTACAGGCAGACTTCAGATTCATGTCAATCTAATCACTACCTGAGCAGGGGCACCAAAAGCAATGGCAGGTTGTGATTTTAGAAGCATAATATATCCATATATAGATGGATTTTAGTGTTTTAAAAACATACCTCATGAGCTGAAAGTTAAGGAAAATTCTAAACAACGTTTGGGCGGAATTCAAATAAGCATTCAAGAAAAATCACCAGCTTCCTCCCTCTGAAAGGTTTTCCATCGTCTGCCAAAATGATGCCATTTCATTTACAGACATCTTTCCATGCCAGTGCCTTCATGCACAAGTTTTGCCTGACTGTAGGGATTCCAGCACAAAGCTTTAAGCTTTGGTATGAAGTTTGATTTCCTTTCCATTCAGTGAATTACAAAGGACTCATGACAATTTACATAAGGGACAAGATAATTTTTGAAGTTTAATTTCAGCTTAATATTCTCTTAATGTTTTAAAATATTATCTGGACTGTCTGAGCAGCTGTGTTTAATTTATTGATTTTTATTTTTTTTTCCAGTTAAGTTCCTTTGAATGATCTGGGGGAAAACCACAATCATGATCTCTTCATTTTTCCCCCCTGTGGAAGGGAATCTCTTTCTGAAGTACTTGTTAACAAGCTTCCCAATTTAGCCACCCTCTGTCCTAGAGCTGGTTCCCTTCCATGCTTGCATTATGATTCATGATCCATCTCCCTGCATCTCAAGAACAGGACAAGTACCATGCCAGAGCAAGACAGCTCTCAGTGCTACTGCCTATTCAGCAAATCCTCTTTGTCTCCCCACATCCCTTAGACACTGAACACAAGTCCTGCCAGTGTGGGCAGTTATTCCAATGTGTAACAGCAGGCATTACTTACGTGGATCTGTCACCAGGACCTTCAAGAAATACTTGGCTGATTCACGTTTGCTTAAAGAAGGGCCAAATAATTGCAAAGTCCCGGTGTCTTGCTGAATATAGAAGAGATTCTTTGAGGGGAATTCAGGTTCCTGACTTTGGATTAGGAAATGCAGACGAGAGTTAAGGCTGTCCTTCTCATCCATGTCCGTAGCAAACACAGTGCCAATATTACTCCCTGGAGCAGAGCAGAGATGGGAATCAGACACAGTGCAGTGGCTCCATGTCTCCACAGAAGTACACAGTGACAACAGTGATACCAGTGCAAAGGGCAGAGGGTCAATAAAAATAAAGCTGTATGGAAAATGCTTCAATGGACATGCAATCTTTTCACTTCTGGGAGTTTTTGCTTTAGCCTCCCAACATACTGGTTTGGGGTCAGGGCAGTCCAAAAGACTGTAACAGCAGACTCTTCACTCCTGAAACCAAATAACTGATGTCAAGACATTGGAAGATTTTGGTAATGGTCTGTTGAAGTCAGAGGTTTTATGCTGGAGCTGCAGCTGAATGAGGGAAAATGGGCTCATACCCCTTTAAGAACAGTTTCTTGTATTGGTAATAAAAGAGGTGTTTTTCTTTACACAGTCTAAGCAGTTATCCAAATTTGTGGTTGTGGGAAAATGCAGTTTTATATTTTAAATAAAACAGCATTTTCAAAGTAGGTGTTTTGGGTCTGTCCTTCTCAGGTTCTTGAAATCCTTTCCATAGGAATTATTGAAGGGAAAACAGGAGGGCTATTTGCACAGGAAAATACTTCCCTGGGACAGCCATGTTTTAATCTTTGGGATCATAATTTTTAGCTTCATTCACACACAGCTGGAAACAACAGGAATACAATGAGGTGTATAAATTAACAGAAGTTCTTTTCTTACCTCCCTTTTCATTTTCTTGAACTTCAATTATGGTGAGGTCCTGCTGACACACAGGGGGATTGTCATTGATGTCTTCCACAATAACGTGAATTTGCAAAGGCTTGTCCACCAGTTCTCCTGTGTTATCTTTTGACACCACATAGAATGTATACTGCAACAAGAATATAGCAATTAGATGGTTTGAATGTCCACTGTGACAATATTTTGCATTTTACTATGTAACTACAAGAATATGAAATATCATCTCATGAGTTTGCTCAGTATTTTCTTTTTGTTTAAATCAGAACTCTTCCATCACCCTTTAGCTTCTGAGGGCTGAGGATTTTAAAATCTGTGGTCCCCAAGGTCTCAAGTAGATCTGAAACCTCCAGATCTCCTTCCCTCCAGCGCCTATCTCTTACTCATGCACCTACAACCCTGCCACAGCTGGTCCATGCTGTACATTGTACATATGCTGTGGGCAGGGATTGCTACTGCCAGGCCCACTCTAGGGTAAGGACCTGAAGCCTGTTTACAGTATAATAGGTGGATGAACTTTCACATATATCACATCATTTCCAAACAGAAGTGACAAGAAACAAAACTTTTATCTATTCTCCCCTTCCCAGTCTCCCTTCCATTCTGTTGAGCTTTCTCATATTTACTCCCACACCAATAATCAGCTTCCTGCTGTGCTCTCTGCCATCAGTGAAGTTTTATATGTTTACTTACAGTATCCTTTTCTTCCCTGTCCAATGGTTGGGTCACATAAATATCCCCATTCTCACTGATGGAAAATGGGAGCCTTGGCAGCTTTTCTTTTTCAAAAATGCCATAAATTACACCTGGTTCATTTGACTGCACCTAAAAAAAACCCAAAAAATAAGTCAGGATAGGAAGTCAGAAGTGTAGAGTGAGATTTAACAGGGATTATTTCTGGACCACAAACAGAAACAACTGCATTCCTGTTAGCTTCATAAACCAGAAAATTACCAGTTTGGCAGGCTTTCAGGATGAACTGCAGAAAATCAGACTGATAATCCACCTCTGCTCTCTGAATTGTGTGCTGAAGCCACTTTGCCACAGTTTCTCCATCTGTCCAGATGGGATACAATACATCCCCTTTTATAAAAAAAATTGGTGATGTGGAGATAAAGAGTGATTATGAGAAAAAAAACATTATTTTTGTTTTAATATCTTGATACTAATGATTTCCTCTCCTAACACTCTCTATTCCTGCCTGTTGCTTTGTTTTATTTAATTCAGGGAAATGGAACAACGAAGCAGCACTAAATTAGAAGGAGCTGCCAACTCCTTCCAGGACAGAGAGGCCCTGCAGAAAGACCTTGATAAATTATAGAGATGGGCAATCATTAACTGTATGAAGTTTAACAAAGTGACAGATTCTGCACCTGGGATGGGGCAATCCTGGATGTACGGACAGCCTGGGGAACGAGAGGCTGGAGAGCAGCTCCACAGAAAGGACCTGGGGGTCCTGGTCAGTGGAAAGTTGAATGTGAGTCAGCAGTGCCCTTGCAGCCAGGAGGGCCAGCCCTGTCCTGGGGTGCATCAGGCCCAGCATCACCAGCAGGGCAAGGGAGGGGATTGTCCTGCTCTGCTCTGAGCTGGGGCAGCCTCACCTCAAGTATTGTGTGAAGTTTTGGGCACAACATTATAAAAAAGACATTAAGGTATTAGAGAGTGTCCAAAGGAGGGCCACAAGGATGGTGAAGGGTTTGAAGGGGAAGCCTTAGTAGGAGCAGTTGAGGACACTTGATTTGTTAAGCCTGGAGGAGACTGAGGGGAGACCTCAACATCTTCATGAGGGGAGGCAGAGGGGTGGGACTGATCTCTTCACTTTCTTGACCAGGGGCAGGACTTGAGGAAGCTCAACTCGGACAGGTCTGTGTTAGATATATCAAGAAAAGGCTTTTCACCCAGAGGGTTCCTGGGCACTGAAGCAGGATTCCCAGGGAAGTGGTCACAGTACCAAGCCTTCATTAGTTCAAGAAGCATTTGGACAATGCTCTCAGGCACATGGTGTGACTCTTGGGGTGTCCTGTGCAGGGCCAGGAGTTGGACTTGATGATCCTGATAGGTCTCTTCCAATACAGCATATTCCTTGATTCTGTGATTCTGTGCAAACAAATACCTGGTACCTGTCTGTAAATGGGTGCATGCGCACTCTTTACATTCATCAAAGCTCATGAGGAAGGCTCTTTTTTGGGGTACCGCACATTTAAAATGAAATTAAATACACAGACTGGTTAGTTAAAGGAGTCAGTATTAACATTTATGTTCTATATAGCAGCAGCTACATTTCATTTTCCCCTAGGCAGAATCAACATGACATTGGCTACCACATGAAATGTTTATACAAGTGACCCCAAAATGGGTGCACCCTTACATGTTAGTCTTCTTTCTACCTGTTTTCATTCTGGATTTCCTTGGGCTGTCACTGAGAATAGCACCAAGCCAGTTACTCTTGTGAACAGGATCCATGGAATCGTGCCATGTTCAAGGGATGACAGCATTGGGGGTGTCATTGCCAAGGCATTTTTCAAAGTCAAATATTTCTGAAAGGCTGTTGGCCTGTTAGTTAATATGTACTGATGTATACACTGCTATTGGTCTGCTGTTATCAGCAAAATATTTTGTGCTTGAACTGTGAAAAGAGGAATATTGGGAATGCAGGCTGTGAAGGAGGGTATTTCAGTCCTTTCAACGTACTTTTGATGTAGCAGTTGTGGTGCATGACACAAAACCAGTCACACCAGGCGTCCCTGAGTGTGAGGGACTGCCCACAGCAGGGCTGTTGTGGAGCTGGTCTCCTGCCCTGCTCTTCTGCAGGTGGAAGAAGCTAACCACAAAATAAGCTCCAAAAAACTCTTTGTTTGCTCAAAGCCTAGAGGACCCATGACTGGATTTTGGTCCCAAACTGAAAGGCAAAGTACAGTCACTCTAGTGTTTGTATTGACTATATCTATATCACCTTCAAACTATTAACTTTTGTGCTAGCAAAAAATCAATGAGACCTCCACTAACAATGATTTCCAAAGGATGCCATATTAAAAAAATGACTGGGAGGTGTCAAAGTCATTCTGAAGAACCTGGTGTTGGATGCAGTAGGGACACCTTCACAGTTAGTTGTGAGGAAACAATTGTGTGGTAGAAGGAGAAGTTCATGGAGTGTGGTCAAGGACCCTACCTTGCTGATGTTGACAGGGTGGACCTGGGTTGAGTTTTCTTTGATGCGGATGGTGGAGGGAGCTTTCCACAGGCTCTCCTTCACAGTGATGATCACATCAACACTGCTGGCGAAAGCATTTGCTGTCGTCCCTGCCATGTCCTTCACGTAGACAACAAGTATGAAGGTGTCCTGCTTTTGAGGATCCAAGTAATAAGAGCCTAAAGACAGAGCAAAGAGTCAAGAGAAATGACACAGAGGCTGTGGGGGCTGTTTATTTGCCCATTGCCACCTACATGCACTATGGTTCTTTGACTGCCTCAGACTTACTCCTTAGATGGTCCTTTGGGACAAACCTCAGCAAGCCACTTCCTCTGGGTTCTCTGAACAGCATGGCCTCATGTGCATGGAATCATATGAGGCCTCTGTGCTGTGGTCTCATCTTGTGCAGAGGCATCCCTGAACAGCCCTAGCCCCAGTCAGGCACTTGTTCAGCCCAGCAGAATAGATGGGAGTTTCTAATCATTGCAATTCAGTTGGGATCACTTGTCCAGCTGAGTTTTCTCTGCATTTTTCATGTTACTGCTTTTGAGTTTCTAGATTTCATGGCAGAGAATAAATTCCAAGATATGACATAATGGAGTCCTGAAGGACAGAGGATCTATCTCTCTTCTCAGTGTACTTTTAGAGCTCAATCCCCATTTCTGCTAGCTTCCATTGAATTTGATGGGACAAAACACAAGTTCCCCAAAACTAGGGTTTTAGTGGAGTATGTCCCACTGACTGTATTTATTCACAATGTTGTTGTTTTGTTCCTAGGCATATCCCAGAACTCATGCTTCCTCTTTGCAATCAAGAATCTTTTTACATACCTGTCCTGCTTGGTGAGATTGCTCCAGTTGCATTATCAATCTGGAAAAGCATTTCTGCATAAGGGTTGGGAAAATGATGGAGAATGCTGTATGACAGCTGTGCATGGAGAGTTGCAGGATCATCACGGTCAGTGGCGTGGACATACATGAAGGGCTTGCCTGTTTGGATTGGAGAAGAAACAGTGGTAAGAGAAGAGACTGAACCTTAACACATAATCCATTCGAGAAGAGCTCTCAAACCAGGAAAGCAACTTATGGGGAGCTGCCATTGTTCCATAATGCATCTCCCATGGGAAGCCATGCGCAGAGGTTACACTGCTGTATGCCATCCCATAGGTCAGCCCTCCACCAGCTCTGATTAGTAGGATCACAACAGGTGTGTTGACCAGTTGGTGAAGAAGGTGACAGAGTTAAATCAGCAGAGAGCTATCTATTACACAAGAGTGCCTGAACCCAGAATTCAGCTCACTGGGATCTCTCCTTAAGGCCACTTTGCAGTTCTTACACAAATCAGTTAAACCCAAAGCACCTTGATCAAAATGGTGCATGACCTGCAGCACAGATACAATAAAAGAACAATCATACAGTGAAAAAAAATATGGAAATACCCAGTAATGTAAGTCAACTTTTACCTTTTGCACACCAGGGCAGCATTCAAAATCTTTTTGACTTGGATGTACTGAGGAATATACAGTAATATGTTTCAGAATAATTTTCTGACCCCATGGAGGTTTATATGCATGTTATTTAGCAAAAGTTTCTTCTTGAGTCCATAGCCACAGCAATAACAGCTGTATGAGTACTTTGTTTTATTTCCAAGATGTAAGTCTCAACCTACTGCTCTTTGATGCTTGCATGACTTTTGGACTGGATCACTGCAATTCATAATCTAAGACTCTCTTCTAAATGTTAAGGTTTAGCCCATGTTCTGAGAAGCAGCACTCAGGGTAAGTACATTCCCCATATCTACCCTGGCACTTTCTTTTACTGATATGTAAAGACTCAGATAGTATTAGCCTTCTCTTTCTGTATAGTCTTTGGTAGCTTTTAAATTTTAAACCCCTTCTACCATAAGGTTTTGTTGTTTGTTGGTTTTTTTTCCCCAGAGCAATGGACAGAGCAGCAATATTTGTCTGTTAAATGACACTTGCAAAGAGTAAGTAATAAAAAATATTTCTGATTGCACTCATCCCCTTACACCACATAGTGGTCACCTCTTTGCCCTTTCATTATATTATAGAGGCTTTCATCCTTATTTTGTACAGTCCTGTGGGAAGAAAAACTGATCTTTTTCCAGCTTGTATAGCAACAACTTTACCTTCCTGCTTAATTTACCTACCTTCCTATTAATGATAATACTTAATTATGGTGGCAATTACCTGGACGAGAGTTCTGCCTCACTACTCCATAGTACTTTGTCTGGTTAAATTCTGGGGGGTTGTCATTGATATCCTCCACATATATTGTAACATCACATGGGCCTTTAACTCTCTTTCCACTCTCATCCAGACTTTCCACCTGATTCAAAAAAAGAAGGAACAGCAAGTAAATATTTTCATGCAGACAGGTTAAAAGGCATGAATTGATATCAGGGTGTCAGATGGCAGGTCACTCTTACTGTCATGCAAATCTGGTGAGAGCCACCACTGGGTAGCTCCACATACAAGGACAAATTTGCCACTGTAGCTCCCTGACAAAAAATTGTCACAGTATATAATGCCAACAAAACAAAATAACCCACTCCTGCTTCTGATGACAACTTTCAGAGGACAATTTCCCACTTCCAGTTTCAGCAGACTATTTGTATTTTTTCACAGCTTACAATTCATGTTTTTCTTTAAACAGCAACATATACTTTCTAGCAAACAAGGAGAAAATCCAACATGATATAGCATTTATAACTAATTGCTATTATGAATATAAATCAGAAAAATAGTCTGATATAAGGGTTAGTAAAGAAAAATTAATTCTTAATTCTAATGACTTTTTTTTCCACACAATTTGACTTATTTTCCAGCCTTCTTTAAATCACCAAGTATATAATATATCTGTCACACTTAACTTTGTTTGCACATAATAGATAAAATCATGATTACTTATGCCTAACCAAGCATAACTTTTTCATTCTGTCATCACTTTTTGTCTATAAATTATTCACATGCTTAGGGTTATTAACTTCTGGGGCTAGGAAATTGTCCTCTCTAATTCCAATCCAAGGGTGCTTTAGAGCTGAGAATGTGAAACCATGAAACCTGAAGTGATAGACTTTAGAAAGACTGCTAAGGCTGGCTAAAAAATCATCATGTGCTTTGCCTGTTCAGGTACTGATCCTCTCATGATCATCTCTTCTCAGCTGCTAGTGCCTCAGAAAAAACAGCACCATTTTTGACATGGTTTAAGAGGACAAGGATGCACTGAGACCCAAAGACTGCCCATCCACTGCTCCACTCTCAACAGTGTTTACACTAGTGAGATCCTCATGAAAAAGGCATAATAGCAGGACAAGCACACAAAGTTTTTCCTCTCTTAGAGTCCAACATCTGCCCAACAGCTTTCTACTGTTATCTGACAGAGGTTAGATCTGTGCCTCCCTGCCTAAATGTCTTTCACTCACACTGTTTCACAGAGTCACAGAATATTCCAAGTTGGAAGTGACCCACAAGGATCATCAACCCTGAAGTGAATGGCCCATACAAGGATCAAAGCCTGGCATTATTAGCACCATGCTCTAACCAACTGAGCTAATCTCAGTTGGTCACCATGTATATTGTAAGCTTTCTAAATTATTACAATAGTTCATTTTTCCACTCCAGAAATAGACTTCACCCTATCAGCCTTCAGGGATAACAAGAAAAGCTCATTCATGAGGTTAGATTTTACTTCCAGTCAAGTATTCCCCTCATATTAGGAGAGCTAGAGGGTTGTGCTGGCATCACAATTTTTGTTTTCTGAACATAGCCTTCCTCTGCTAAGGAGCATTTTCCTGTTCAGTCTTTGAGAGCTACAAAACCATATGTTTTCCAGCAAATCTTGATATTAAAAATGAAAAACCTGCCTGTAAACATAGGCAAAATAAAAGATTCCAAATTCCAACCGATTTCTCTTACTACCAGGTATACCCAAAGAGGATGAATGTGAATACTTCTCCTTTCCTATTTTTCATTGAGTTTTTACCTGAAGCTTGTGCACTTTTTTAGTCTCCCAGTTCAGAGATCCATTGATATACAGGATGCCTGTCCTCGGCTCAATGTCAATAATTCCAGCTTTTTCACCAGATGTTCTGAAACTCACAGCAGGTGGCTCGAGTTTGAACTACAATGGAAAAAAAAAAAAAAACAACAAACCAAAAACAGAGGGGAAAATCATCATTTTTTTCAGCATTTTCACCATAATAAAAATAATTTCATGCTTTTGTGACTTTTAAAATCTATTGCCAACAGTGTGTTTGGCAGGGAGAATGATATTCCAAGAGTCTGCTCAACTTCCAAGAGCAGACCTGAAGTCTGCTCTTTTCTGATCCTCAGCAGAGGAGTTTTCACATTGTTTCCTGAATGCTGCAAGAAATCCCGACTGCAGTTTGTTTCCAAAGCAAATGTCTGCTCAGGCTTTGTCTGAGCATGGGAATGGAAAAAAATGACACACATCCTCCATTTGCCTGGGAGCTGGATCTGTCCTTCTGTGGCTATGGCTTTGGGAGGAAAATCTCAGAGTCAAAGGAAAATGATGACACAAGTTACATGGAAAGAAGTTCTCCAGGAATGTTGATTTTATTAATCCCTGTCTTAGGATATCCTCTTAAATATGTGTTTGAGAGGGGGTTGTCTCCTGCTCTTTGCATGTAGCCTCTTGAATTCCCAGAGAGAGGAATTAAAAATTAATTTTGCATCCTCTTGAGGGACTGTTCTTCCCACCAGCACAGAGACAACCCTTCATATGTGGTCTCTTTGTGCAGGCTGGGGGGTTCTTGACCAGAGTGGATAACACAAGACACTTGATTACCTGGTAAAGGATGCGTGGACCCCCTCCTTCCTGAACAGAGAAGTCGATGTCCTTCAGAGGCCCAGTTACACTCAGGCCCTCCAGACTAAGCCACATGGCCTGTGAGAGAGAGGGATGGAGGAAAGCACATGAGGGATGTCTGTTGCCACCACACACAAACAGCAGCTCCTCACCCCTGAGCCTCCTTGAGCTCTTTTGCTACAGTACAAGGGCAGAGACTCTTCCAGGCTTGCACTGAACATCTCCAGGCTCTTTAGTGTACATAATTTTTAAAAGCAGAGATTTATTAATTAATTAGAGCACAAAGGCTTGTGCCCTTTTCTGACCACTACATAATTAAATGAGATTGGATCTACCTTCAAGAGCAAACAGAAGAAGAAAATAGATTAAAGTAGACTAAGAGCAAAAGGGAGTTCATAAAATCATTGCTGGATCTCCCCTGTGTCCCCAGCAGGACCATCCATGACCCATCCAAGAGCCACAAAGCCCTGTGAAAACAAGTGTGTCTGGAAATCAAACATCACACCTGGGGATGAGGAGGAGCTGTGGCTGCACCCTTTGTAATTTCCCCAGTAAATCAAATCTTTTTTTGTATGGGAATGAGGTGGCCCTCTCTGGGTTCCTACAGCACCCCCTCATGCCACAGCCATCTGGGCAAGCCACTTGAGCCCTGTGCCTTCACATCAATTGCATGTGAATGAAAACCACAGAGAGAGCAAATGTGTCCTTCAGATCTTTGGCTTTTACCTGATGGCAAAAATGTCACACAAATCTGTCTCAGCCTCTGTCTTCCTAATGGCTAGCAATGTCCTAACATCATGGGGTTTTACTGCCAAATTTTTATTAGGTTTTTAACCTCACACTCCCCAGTGCCCAAAGACCTCCACACTCCTGCCCTAACATGTCAGGGCTGTTCTTGCTTCCAAACAAAAGAAACAAAGCAAAATTGAGCCTCTCAGGGCAGGCCTTTCACACAAGACTATTCACACTATGGTTCAGATAATCAACCTGTTACTTCAGAGGAAAGACCAAGATTCCCCAATTTCCCTGTCTTCACGACCTATCTTGACAATGCTGAGTGTCTGCCTGTCAGAATAAGGGCTCCATTATTTGGCTGAACAAGTAAAGTTTCTTTTCTTCAATAGTAAAAATTAATTTATTTTGCTTTACAGATTTAGACTACCATTGCCACCCTGTCCATCACACCACAGAGTTGAATGTGTGTTCTCTGCTGCATGACTTCTCTGCTGCATGACTTTTCCTCTGGATTTGATCCTATTGCTGCTGGGATAGCTATTCAATTTCTGACAGAAAAGCACAGTCTGCATATTACCAAGGGAAAACTTAATTCTGCCTATGACAAAAACATAGCAAAGTTCAGCACAATTCAGCCTAAAGCACTGCTCTGTGTGTGTGTGTCACAAGTTCTGTTTCAATAATTCCATATTGTTCTTAATTATAGCCAGAGATGCTGTCCTGCTCGCCTACAAGGCTTTGTGACTCCTTTTGAAAATGGGAAAAGCAGAGAGCTGGGGAAGGAGAGGGAAGGATGTTAGTGAATAATAGTGTGAGCAGAAGAATATCAACAAATGTAATCTGATAGTTATGCATCCAGGAAAATGCACTTTGCAGCTACCTTTTTAATATTTTTGCAAAATGCTGACTGCTGGCCTTGCCAGGGACCAGGTATCAGGACCCTGAATCTGACCTGCTACAGCTATTCCCGTGTCACACAGATTGGCACAGCCTGGCTCCTGGAGGCTGCTCCTGGGGCCATTTTATGGACAGATTTTGCTTTATCATGTTCCCTGCCATGGAGGAACAAAGGCTGATGCTATAAAACCATAAAGTTCAAAGTGCAACAACTGCAACAAGTGCAACTGTGAAACAAGTAAGCGATATCACTTCTGTTGATTAAAATTACTTTATGTGGACCAAAAATATTTCCAAACATATTTCTACCACATGAATCACTGTTCAGGAGCTTGGAAGGGAAAGAGGTTTTACCTCTTGGTCCATATCCATTGGTATATCTTCTGAAGATGGCTATAATGCTTGCAGAGTGGCTTCATGGAGGGGCCAGCATTGCCACAAGCAGTGAAATGGGAAGGGAAAAGGAGGTGCTCACTGTGCCACCCCTCAAGGTCCCCATACTCTGAGGCATTTTTTACTGAACTTGAATTTGACACATTTTTTCAATCTTTTCTGTTAATTTCAATTGTGAAGTGGAAGTCACCACTGCTGTAGCCTTTGCAAACATCAGTAAATCTATTGCATTTAATACATAAGGTCCATAAAGAACATAATTAACACGTTTCAGTTCCAAAAAATCCTCTGAAAAGGGATTCACAGGAATCAAATAATGAGGGTACAAAATTAACATGCACAGTTTAAGCTATGAGGCATTATATGTCTTAGAATACATTTAATATGTCAGAACATGTATGGATTATAATGCAGAACTCATGATACTGATGTTTTCACTCTTTGGTGATTTGTTGCAGTATGTTTAAATCTTTTCTAGCATGAAATTCATGTATTGGAAACAGTGATATCTAAAGAGGAAGTAGAAGAGGGAAAACAAGTAAATTGGTGCCTTCTAGGTTTTGGAAGTTTTTTTCCCTTAATGACTGAGATGTCTTCTCAACTTGCTGTGGGGGCCACACACCTGTGCTGGGGACACACCCAGAGTTACAGCCACGGTGCTGGCACCAGGCTGCCTGACCTGTGGGCTGGCACACCCATGGATTAGAGCTCAGAGTAGGCAACCTTTGCCTTTTGCTCACAGATAACAAAGGAAAACTTCTAACTCACCGACTGAATGAGAAGAAATTGAAGTCCACACAGCTTAGGCATGCTGGAATATGCTTTGCTTCAGCTCCTGTGAAGAGATGACATTCACTTTAGCCCCACAGAGCTGGCCCAGGCTATTTGAACACCAAGGCTGAGTTTTCCTGAGGCTGCAGGGAGAGACCTGAGGAGTCCCCAGGGAGCAGCTGCAGATCTGCTCAGGAGAGACAAGAGCACTGGTACCCCTGGGCTGCCAAGGAAGGCTGTGCCCATCAGGTTCTGCCTAATGGTGCAAGAGAGGCAATATGTGAGATTCCCAAAGAGATCTCAAAGATTGAACCCAGCACCAAAAAGCCCTGCAACCACATTGTTACAATTATTCTGTATCACAAAGCCATTTTCATTTCTGGTTTCCTGAAAGCAATGAGATGTTCACAGGAATGCTATAACCACAGGACAAAAGTCTTGCAGAGAATGTCATGAGGTGTCTGTCTTCTAGTTCCAAAAATTTGAATTCAAAATTCAAAAATTTCCTGCAGATTGCAGAGGCAAAGGAAGCCTAAGGTGTCTGCACTCCCTAAAACTACATAGCTACTGGAAACAAAATTTCCAAGTCCAAGGAGCACTCTCTGCCTCAAATTTCAAAGAAATGTTGAGCACGCACTTCCACAGTTTATGTTACATCCTCCTGAAAATTAGACGGCTTTTGTAAAATGCTATTCTACTTCCTCACTGCCTCCAGATTTTTACAAAGAGGATGGGGCCAGTTCTGGAAGGAGGTGAAGCTGGCATATTGTGCTGCCATCTTCAGTGGTGCTTCATGTTACATGGCTCACACCTGCAGGAATCCTCCCACAGATCTGTCCCAAGGAGGCCCCCAGTGGGAAGAACACAGTGTGGAGGCACAGCTCCCTCCAGGTGCCTTCCTGCTTGGGCTTCCCATCACACCATTTCCCCCCTTTCTTTTCTTTCCTCAATGGCTGAACAAAAAGGGGACCTGTAAATACAGAAACTGCTACCCACAGTGCTGTTCTCTCAAGCACTCATTCTAGGACATGCCACAGGAGTTTATCTTCCAAATCCCATTCTGAGCTGTGTTATACTGTGTGTGCAATTGCACCCTTTGAAATACTGGGCTCTTTCCTTGGACTGGAGATAACTGTGTGAGTACTGGAAGAAAATAATACGACACGCTTTTGAAACCAGAAGTGATCAGAAAAATCATTAAATTTGTCAGGAGACAAGGGCTGAAATTGAGCCCCCTGTAGATGCTTGGTTGTGTTGCCTCCTTAGTGGGTCCTTCACAGACCTCTTGGAGCCAGAGGAGGTGGCACAGGCAGGGCAGAAAGAAGGAGAATACCCTTTGAACCTCCTGGAAGGACACTTCAAACCAAAACTGTTGCTGATATTCTGGTTACACAGTCAATGAAAATTCTTTCTGTTCCTCTGCCTATACAACCTCTCCCCTCCCCACCCCTCCTGCCACTCTCTTCTGAATATATTGGCCTGTTCCTGCTGCACTTAGTAGCCATGTGGGAACTTCAAAAAGAGAATTCCTTAATTTGTGGCAGAAGGTGGGACAGAGTGCCCAAGTGTTCCCTCTCCATCTTGTAAGGCAGCAGTCTGTGCCCAGGGACTCCCTGCAGGATTTTATCTTCCCTCTGGAGGAGGCATGGCTGGAGGTGCCCCTTTGCCAGACAGCAGTGGAGGAATACCAGGGAGCTCAAAGTACTGGGGAAGGCCATCAAAACAGGGAAAAAACCGTATGGGGTGGTCTGGGGTACCATGGTCTGGATTCAGGGAAAAAAGAAGGAGCAAGACCTACTGGGGGAGGACAAAGTTTCAGGGCAAATATCCCACCTTACTTTTGGGGACAGAAAATGCTGGAAAATTAATTGCTAAATGTCATGGCCAGGTTATCCTGTCCAGATCCAGCTACCAAATGCAGCAGTGGAAATTCAGCCATTTCACAGTTTGCATGACAAGTGCCTTTGATGTTCCCTTCTCTTTGAACATAAACATCATTTCCTTATGTCATATCATTTATGGCGCCTATTGCAAGTTTTGATCAATCCTTGAACATTTATTTTTGGGTGGAAACTGTTACCAAGTCTTATGAACCATCTCACTGCCAAGGACCGAAACCCCAAAATCCATACTCCTCTGTCACTCAGAACAGAGTTCCAGTATATATAGATTCATTTTAAAGTTTTCAGTAACAGGCAGTTAGAATAGCATCAGCTTAACTAAAAGCAGCTTGAGATCTGGGTTGAGGACTGGAGCCATATTTTCTCCTTCATTTCTTAGCTTCATCTCAGTGCTATATCCCTAATAATCCCTCACGCTTCCCATGACTGAAGAGAAATCTCTAGGATAACCATCATACAAATATTCCAGTGACTTTCAATAATAAACATTCAGAGAACAAAGAATATTCCCGGAGATTAAAGATCAGTAACAATCACAAGTATTTGGTTGCATGGAAAAAAATATTATTTTCTTTAGTTGATTGATTTCAGATGTTCAAATTCAGCAAAGAGAAAACAGAGGAAATTGATCCAAATCAAATATAAACCAGATTAAGCCTTAGCACAGCAGTCATCCATTTTACAGGGACAGCTGTGTTCTTAACACTGCCTGAAAATCCTCTAGCAAAACCCCCACTTCAGCTTTTAAAATTTTTCAGTGAAATGTCAGTTAGATCATCCCTTACCTGTAACATGAAAAGCTTATTTTGCTCTAAAAATGCTTCTTTCTTTCAGCTGTGTGAATCACCTTTGCACAGGTTGGTGATGTCTGTCTTTGCTTATCCAGTTCCTCAGACTTGCCCTCAGAGATCAGCAGCTCAAACATTAACTTGCAGGACAATAATTGATTCTAATGACTAGGTGTAGTCATGTAAGGAAGAAAAGTAGCTCCAAGGTAATTCACAGTCTTCAATATTTTTTACATCCTTTCTGATTTTCTTTCTGACTTCGATTTTTTTTCAGTCAGACTGTGAGAAAAGAACATGCAGGGCATGGGTTGGAGACACAGGGGAAAGACAGCATTTCTAAAAGTGGAGAGGAGAGGGCATGGGCCTTGGGTGGAGAGCATGTTTGCTACTTGTCTAGTCGCAGGAATAATTCACATTCAGAAGACAAGAATTTGGACATAAAGGTGGCTTGTTTTCACAGCAGATCCTTTCATGGGAAGAACCCAGATGAGTTAAAATAATTCATCAGTCCTCATATTGGAAAGTTCAAATTCTGTCTGAGCTCTGCTAAAAATTTACTTTGGGTAACTTTGGGCAAATCAGTCTGTCTGCCCTTTTCCAGATAATCTCATGATGGATGCAATCATTCCTTTCCCTTTGTGCCATCTCTCACATCTGTTTTACGTTCGCAGCCTTTCAAGGGAACTAGTCCCCACTAGTGTCTGCATTATGACACCTGCAGTAAAGGGAATTGAAATCAATTGGGCTGTAAAGGACAATGGTAAAACAAATAATCAATAAAATATATTTGAAAAATAAACTAGTTTTTTTTTTTAATTGCAGTTCTTAAAATGTTATGCTTTTTGTATCTCACTTTTTTAATATAGTGCTTATTTCAGAAGTTTTGGACAGGCTTATTTTGTTGTCTTGAGAAATGTTATTTTTCATCCAGGTTCTAACTTCTGCTTTCAATTTCCTCAGTCTGTCAGATTGCTCTTGAACACTGTTAAATTATCTGTGCAGTACATTATTTTCTGATTTATGTATCTAAAGAAAGAAGTGTTTAGAACTGATTGCAGCTCTAAGGTGTACAGTTCTGGGAAAAGTTAGGCCTTCTATTTGTGTTTCAGATCACACTTTTCCCTTGAAATCAGTGTTTGTTTCTCCAGGAAAAAACCTCTAGGCTATGCTTTCAGCATGCTTTAAAACACAAGTGTTCTCCATTCACTCATGCACTCAGAATGACTCAGACTCTCTCAAAGCTGTCTGCTAGCAGTGAGTTATCTTTAGACCACAGCTCAAAACCAGTTTTGAATAAAGCATTAAAACTCATTGCTGTTGATTTCTAAATAAATATAATAAGGAGAGGGGAAATTAACTTTCTCGGAAATGTGTTGATTTAAGTGACCTACATGCAGATTAACTGTGTACTAGTTGGATATGAATGAGCAGTATTTTCAACAAGAAGTACTGATTTTAAAACAGCGAGATGAGACTTCACGTGGCAGAACCAACTTCACATCCACAAATTCCTAATGACATTTTTAGTCCTCTTTCACATGACAAGTGTAGAGTAACACAAGTCATGATGTCAGAAGTGCAATCCCTATAAACAAGTCAAGCATTTGCCTTTCAGGTGCTAGTGTCTCTGCTTGGAAGTTCAATTCCCTGGAAGTGCAGTGTATTACCTGAAGTACAAATACACAGACGGAAGGTACCTAGTATGCCTAATTGAATGTCCCCATGATTTAAAGTCAGAGGTGACCCTGTCATACCCAGTATCGTTCTCTGGCTGAAAAAAGTTTCCCAGGCACAGACCAACTGCTTATAGGTTGCAACTGCACAGCAGAAAAAAAAAAAGCCTCCCATGTCAAATGCATTACAAAGTCCAGAAGCACTTATGGCTTTACAACAGTCATAACATGGTGCCACAGATAAAATCACAAGAAGAAACTCAGCAGTGAGACTGGGCCCTTGAGCCAGCTGTTTCTCTGAGTAAATCCAACGAAAAAAAAGGCAAATGTCCAGGTGTTTATTGTGTGAATCATTGTTCAACGAGTCAGTTTTTCCAGAAACAACTCTTCTCATATCATTAGTCACATCCTTTTCACCCTTCCCATTTATCAACGTTGTCATTTCTCCCCCGCTCCTTTTTCATTTTCTCTTTTTGTCTTTTTACTTTTACTCCTGGTTTCCACTCAGCTGACATCTCTCCAGGTACCTCTTCCACTCCCCAAACTAGCTGGACTTGCCTGACCTCAGCTTCCCTCCCTTTCTGTTTGTTTAGAAAATATTTCTTTTATGGATCTATTAGGGTATGATAATTTCACAATATAATTAATGTGTGTGAACATGAGATAGTACCACTGGA